TGAACAAGCCTGAATGGTTCCCAGGCATACATGCAACTGAAAACTCACCGCGCTTCATTGCTAGGGCAGCTGTCAGAAACATCCTCACGGAAGCTGCAACGACGCTTTGACTCCTATCAACTAGGTTTTGGTGTTCCCCATGGCTGTAAAGCATCAGCTCATGCAGCACGAGCCTATATTAAAACCTTCCAGAAAATAAGGCATTATTTAAATTGGAGTTTACAAATGCCTTCAACCAGGTAAAAAGGGATGGGGTATTGGAATCAGTTCGAACTAGCTTCCCTTGTCTACTCCCCTTCGTTTCAGCAGGGTACAGTAGGGAATCGACACTGATGTTTGGGGAACATGAAGTTGTTTCCGCCGAAGGTGTCTAGCAGGGAGACCCACTTGCCCCTTTGCTTTTTTGCATGGCTGTTAAAGAGGTCACAAGCAGGTTTTTGTCCAGCGAACTTAACATCTGGTTCCTGGACGATGGCACTCTAGCAGCTAGGGACACAGAAGTCCCTGCTAGGAGACCTACAGCTAGTGATATCTAAAGGAGAAGAGTTAGTACTCACCCTAAATCCATCAAAGTGTGAAATCATCGTCAAGGCAAAAAATCCTAGATGCAGTACGAATTATATTGCCAGGAGCCCCATGATCGCTCCCCCCAACAGTGTGCTGCTAGGAGCACCTCTAAGATCCATCCTCTTTGAGGTAATCCTCGAAGAAAAACTGAACGACCTGAGGAGGATGGAGGAAAGAATAGGGGCTTTGGATGCCCACGATGCTTTGTACCTTCTCACAAGGTGCCTGGCTTTGCCCAGACTTACCTATTTCCTCTGATGTCCTCCCTCCTTCGACAGCCCAAAATTAACAGAATATGACTCACTCCTAAAGTTAATAACCATGAAAGTATTAAACCTCTCCCTGCCAATGGGACCAAGCTACGCTCCCAGTTAGACTCGGGGGGATAGGTATTCGCAAGGCGACACAGTTAGCATTGCCGGCATTTTTATCCTCGACCAGTGCTACAGGTGAATTAGTGAATGAAATACTACCAGAATACCTAATAGACTCCATTGGGATTTATGATCCAAAATTCGCAGAAGGAGCTGGTCAGTGGGACACTCTTGTCAACTCTCACCCTCGACCAACTTTTCCATTAGACTGCAAATCTTCCAAATGGGATAGCCTCATAGTGGAGAACAGCGTTGCTGGAGGCAGCTTCTGAGAAGGGCAGAGCGCGTCTTCTAGCTGTGCAAGCCCCCATGCCAGAGACTTCCTGATGGCAGTCCCAAATTCCGCCTTGGACACCCGCCTGGACTATAGGGACCTAAGTATTGGTGTTGCCCTGCGCCTTGCGGCCCTTATCTCCACCGAACAAATGTGTATTTCTGGCTATGCGCGGGTGGACCAATACGGCAGCCATAGTCTCATCTGTCGTAAGTAAAAGGGAATGATTGCCAGACATGAAGCAGTCAATGACATCATCAAGAGAAGTTTGGCTACAGCTGGGTGTCCAGCACAAAGGGAACCTCAGTTGTGCAGGCCTGACAACAGCCAAAAACTACCAGATGGAGTGACCCTGCAGCCGTGGAGGAAAGGTAAACAGGTCGTGTGGGATTACACGTGTGCGTCTACATTGGCGGATCCCTATCTACCTTACAGCACAGCTGAGGGAAGCGGGGCGGCCACCGTCAGAGAGATGCACAAAACCAACAAGTACAGAGACTTAGAACGTTGTTACAGGTACGAGCAGATAGCTCTGACACTCTGGGCGCGTTGGATAAATGTGCACTTAAGTTCCTACAGGAGGTTGGTGAGGACCTCATTGGGAAAACTCAAGACACAAGAGTGACCTGTTTCCTGTTCCAGCACCTCAGTGTCGCAGTTCAAAGAGGAAATGCCTGCTGTATCCTGGGTTCGATCCCGACCTCCGAAGAGTTGGACGAGGTTTTCGAACACTGATTGGTATGCTGTTATATATGTGTGTTCTCTGTAAACTGCAGCAATGTAATAAACTAAACTAAAATATAACAAAATGAATAAAAAATGAATAGGGGTGGTAGGAGAAGAATAGATTAAAGTGTTCAATGAGAATCCACAGGGTCTTCTCTGAGTACTCTTTATTTTCTTGTCTCCAATCAGAATGAAAAACAAATAGAAATTTTATCCTGTAGTTATAGACATGAAGATGCAGCCTATTGATACAAAAAAAACAATTGCACCATATATGGAATGGTGCAATTCCACGCATGAAAAACATTATTGGTTTTCCCTGTTTAATTAAGAACAATGTGTAATATATAATTGTGATGAATCAAAGATGTTTTGGTGAACATTTGCGTGAGCTTACTGGGAGTACCTGTTTTACTTACCTGCTTCACTTAATCTTGCACAGATGCCTAGAAATTCTTCAGCATTGTTGATGGAATCTAGACGAGTCTCCTCTAAACGATATCAACACCTGCATGATTAATCAGATAATACTAACTCCACTAGGGAAGGGGAACTATCAGGGGAAACCCCCAAGCAATTACGACTATATTGCTTCTTATTGTCTTTGACGGACACCTGCCAAGCTAATTGTGCCCCTCCTCCCCCCCTTTTCCCGAGATCAATCTGGCTTTTTCCAAGATGAGACCCACAAGAGTTGTAAAATTCTTGTACCTATTTATCACTAGGCCGACAGAGGCATGAGGTCAAAGGAAACGTAGCCAACGTCGCTATCTTGCTGCGGAAATTGAAACAAAGATATTTCGGTTGGCGAGCGACTGAGCTGACCACTGAGCAGTGATCAGGAAGTGTCTAAGAAGTTCCTAACTAACACTCAAGAGAGAATTCGAACCATCCCTTGAGCACCAGCGTGGCGCTACTGTAGTCCACTCTCTCGCCCACGGCATGTAACATGCAATACAACTTAGTATAGGTAATAATAAATATATTCGGAACACCGGAGAAGGAGCTGAGAACGACTCAGCTGGTATACTTTAAACCATGACTGTAGCATCATTGTGGTTCTTGGAAATAATCTAACCATTTTGACCTTGTGAGTGATGCATAGTGTTTAATCGTGCTTTTGTTCGGTTGATATTACAATGTTAATTCTCATTGTTGATAATTGGTCATACTTTTTTATCTGAACTTTATGACGTCGTCGGAGTACATGTACATTAAATAAACAAACTAAGAACTTGGTTTGACTCTTCCGGTCAAAACATAACACAACTTTGTCCGCGTCACAGGAGGGGCAGTCCACTATATCACTAAAAGTAATATTTCAGTCTCTTCTCTCATCACGGGTTACAAACTCAGGCGGGGAAAATGTCGGTCTCTTAAGCCAGTAAGACCTGAATGATATACTCTTACCCACGATGTGTGGGATGCGTCATATGTGAAACGGATGACGCTATGCATTACTCCTGATAGCAAGGGGTTGCGACAGGTATATTTTGGAAGTCGTAGTTAAGTACTAGTTGCTGAGTTCTGAGACACTTTAACAGCCATCTTCATGTATAAAACACTTACATTGATAAAACGTGTAAAATGTCCCTAATTATTTGTGCTAACCTTAGACATGTTGATGAAGCTTTTGTGTCTCGTGGACGAAAGAGTCTGTTTGATGTAACCTCCCCCCCCCCTCATCCCCATGTGTTGTGTGAGCCCCCATGTGGAGCAGTGTGAGCCCCTCATGTAGTGCAGTGTGAGCCCCCATGTGGTGCAGTGTGAGTCCCCATGTGGTGCTGTGTGAGTCCCCCATGTGGTGCAGTGTGAGTCCCCATGTGGTGCAGTGTGAGCCCCTCATGTAGTGCAGTGTGAGCCCCCATGTGGTGCTGTGTGAGTCCTCCATGTAGTGCAGTGTGAGCCCCCAATGTGGTGCTGTGTGAGTCCCCATGTGGTGCAGTGTAAGTCCTCCATGTAGTGCAGTGTGAGCCCCCCATGTGGTGCTGTGTGAGTCCTCCATGTGGTGCAGTGTGAGCCCCCCATGTGGTGCAGTGTGAGTCCCCATGTGGTGCAGTGGGAGCCCCCCATGTGGTGCAGTTGGAGCCCCATGTGGTGTAGTGTGAGCCCCATGTGGTGCCGTGTGAGCCCCCATGTGGTGCGGTTGTGAGTCCCCATGTGGTGCAGTGTGAGCCCCCATGTGGTGCGGTGTGAGCCCCCATGTGGTGCGGTGTGAGCCCCATGTGGTGCGGTGTCAGCCCCATGTGGTGCGGCGTGAGCCCCATGTGGTGTGGTGATCCCCATGAGGTGCAGTGTGAGCCCCATGTGGTGCAGTGTCAGCCCCATGTGTGCGGTGTCAGCCCCATGTGGTGCAGTGTGAGTCCCCATGTGGTGCTGTGTGAGCCCCCCATGTGGTGCAGTGTGAGCCCCCATGTGGTGCAGTGTGAGTCCCCATGTGGTGCAGTGTGAGTCCCCATGTGGTGCAGTGTGAGTCCCCATGTGGTGCAGTGTGAGTCCCCATGTGGTGCAGTGTGAGCCCCCCGTGCGGTGCAGTGTGAGCCCCCCATGTGGTGCAGTGGGAGCCCCATGTGGTGCAGTGTGAGCCCCATGTGGTGCGGCGTGAGCCCTATGTGGTGCGGTGTCAGCCCCATGTGGTGCAGTGTGAGCCCCATGTGGTGCGGTGTGAGCCCCATGTGGTGCGGTGTGAGCCCCATGTGGTGCGGTGTGAGCCCCATGTGGTGCGGTGTGAGCCCCATGTGGTGCGGTGTGAGCCCCATGTGGTGCGGTGTCAGCCCCATGAGGTGCGGCGTGAGCCCCATGTGGTGCGGTGTCAGCCCCATGTGGTGCGGTGTCAGCCCCATGTGGTGCAGTGTGTGAGCCTCATGTGGTGCGTTGAGAGCCCAATGTGGTGCGGTGAAAACCCCAAGTGGTGCGGTTGTGAGCCCCATGTGGTGCGGTTGTGAGCCCCCATGTGGTGCGGTGTGAGCCCTCATGTGGTGCGGTTGTGAGCCCCATGTGGTGCGGTTGTGAGCCCCATGTAGTGCGGTTGTGAGCCCCATGTGGTGCGGTTGTGAGTCTCATGTGGTGCGGTGTGAGTCCCCATGTGGTGCGGTGTGAGCCCCATGTGGTGCGGTGTGAGCCCCATGTGGTGCGGTGTGAGCCCCATGTGGTGCGGTGTGAGCCCCATGTAGTGCGGTTGTGAGCCCCATGTGGTGCGGTGTGAGCCCCATGTGGTGCGGTGTGAGCCCCATGTGGTGCGGTGTGAGCCCCATGTGGTGCGGTGTGAGCCCCATGTGGTGCGGTGTGAGCCCCATGTGGTGCGGTGTGAGCCCCATGTGGTGCGGTGTCAGCCCCATGTGGTGCGGTGTCAGCCCCATGTGGTGCGGTGTGGGGCCCATGTGGTGCGGTGTGGGGCCCATGTGGTGCGGTGTGAGCCTCATGTAGTGCGGTTGTGAGCCCCCAAGTGGTGCGGTGTGAGCCCCATGTGGTGCGGTGTGAGCCCCATGTGGTGCGGTGTGAGCCCCATGTGGTGCGGTGTGGGGCCCATGTGGTGCGGTGTGGGGCCCATGTGGTGCGGTGTGAGCCTCATGTAGTGCGGTTGTGAGCCCCCAAGTGGTGCGGTGTGAGCCCCATGTGGTGCGGTGATAAGGTCCACATGATATAACAAACATCACACTCATATTTCCTTTCTATTTACCGTGTTTTGTTAATATTATCCAATGAACATTCATAAAAAATCACATTATGTATAAGTTGTCTTTGTACAACTAACATTTAATGTGCTATAATAATTACATATGTAGTTTCTGTAATCATTTTGTTTATAAATATGATAAAGTAAATTACTCCGTGCTTTACTTGTATAGTGAATGATAACAAACGTGTTAATACCTGACAATGAGCAGCAAAGAAGCAGGATGAACGACGGTAGATGTTACCCAGTTGCTGTCTGGGAACAAACTGAGGCACTCTGCTCGGCTGGAGGTACTTATCAGGGACGAGCCCGGAGGTGTCCCCCTCATTGGTTGCGTTCACCAGAGCGCAGGTACTTTCTGCGTTCTGATTGGTTGACGGTCTACCAATCCGGCAAAGCCAGAGGTCGGTTGTCGTCTTGATGTTGATTATTAATTATTGCCCTAAGGTGTACTTATAAGCACACGTACACGAGCACCAGCTCAAGGACATAGGACCTCGCGACTGAGTGGACAGCACTTGGGGACGTAGTCCTAAGGGCCTGGGTTCGATATCCGGCCGAGTCAGAAACAAATGGGAACAATTTCTTTCATCAGATGCGTCTGTTCACCTAGCAGTAAGTAGGTGCCTTGAAGCTGGGCTGCTTCCCGGAGATGTGAGCGTATGAGAGAGAAATATATTTAGTAAATATAATAGAGGAAAACAATAGATCGGTTAGAAAGGCGAGGTTCAAGAGCTAATAGCTCGATTCTGTGGGCACAAATAGTAATGAGAAAATCCACTAGGACTATAGGTGGACGCGAACCGACGACCTCGGCATTACTAGTCGCGTACTCGACCACTAGGCCACTGTTCACTTGTTAACTTCTTGTGATTTCAGTAGAAATCCGTTTGTATGACGTTACACAAGTCCCTGGTGGTCTAGTGGTAGAGTGCACGACTAACAATGCCGGGGTCATGGGTTTGTGCCCACCTATAGTCCTGGTGGTTTATCTCATTTTCTCAGGCACACACACATATGCACTCACTCAGACACACACCGGTGGGACGTGTGTGGCTGAGTGGCATGCTGAACGCGGGATCCTGTGGTCCCGAGTTCGATTCCGGGCGCTGGAGTGAAACAATGGGCAGAGTTTTTTGCACCCTAATTCTCCTGTTACCTAGCAATAAATAGGTACCTGGGAGTTAGTCAGCTGTCACGGGCTGCTTCCTGTGTGTGTGTGTGTGTGTGTGGTGTGGGAAAAAATAGAAGTTAGGAACAGTTTATTGACAGTTGAGAGGCGGGCCGGAAGAGCAGAGCTCAACCCCCGCAAGAACAACTAGGTGAACACACACACATACAAACACATTCCTCTCAGTATTTGCTTACGATTATAAAATTATGAGAAAGATTAAGACCAAGAAGGACAGCAAGAGACTCCAAGATGACCTAGACAGACCGAAGGAATGGTCCACCAAATGGCTACTAGAGTTTAACTCAAGGAAGTGTAAAGTAATGCCAATAAGTGTAAGGCGCAGGAGGCCAAACACAAGGTACCAGCTGGGAGATGAAATCCATTAGGAATCAGGAAGCGAAAAAGATCTAGGGGTTGATATCACGCCAGACCTGTACACTGAAGTCCACATAAAAATGATATCATCAACGGCATATTCAAGGCTGGCAAACATAAAAAGTGCCTTCAGAAACTTGTGTAAAAAATCATTCAGAACCTTGTATACCTCATATGTCAGACCAATACTAGAATATGCGGCTCCAACCTAGAGTCAAACACATATGTAGTCAAACACCAAACGAAGTTAGAGAAAGTTCAGAGATGTGCCACCAGGCTGAGGGGTATGAGCTACGAGGAAAGATACTGGAACTAAACATCACGACACTGGAAGACAGAAGAGTTAGGGAGATATGATTATCACCTAACACATTCTCAGAGGAATTAACAGGGTAGATAAAGACAAACTATTAGCATGGGTACTTACTTACCTATCATTGACTACGGGGAAGTGAGGTCTAGCTCCTTACACAAACTACAATTGTTGTACCTGTTGCGTTAAAGGTATACTATTCTAAAGTTCAGTCTTCGTCGAACCTGGCCTTAAAGTTGGGGATGGAGGTGACTTCCATAACTTTTTCTCTTAGTGTATTACACGTGTTGACCACCCGTACAGGATATCAGTATTTTCTCCATTTCTTCCTCTTATTTGTGATTCCTGCTTCAACTTGTGTCCTCTTGTCCTACTTTTTCTCTGCTTAAAGAAGGTGTCTTTGTTTACCTTGTCTATTCACTCAGTATCTTGTACGTTGTTATCATATTTCCTCTATATCTTCTGTTCTCTTAAAGTTGCGAGGAACAGTTCCTTCACCCTAGCGTGACAGCTTAGCCCACAGTGCACCGGCACTAAACCAGTCGCAAGCCTCTGCACTGTTTCAGCACAAGCTTTGTGCTACACGAGATATAGATACCACGACAGTGCTGCACATTCTAGTATTGTTGTTACTAAGCTGTGGAGATTATGTTGAAACCGTATTGATTTAGGATTGTAAACAACGATAATGTTTGCCAGTGTCTCCTCTCCACCCATACATACTGGGAAGTGCCGGTTCCCCTTCAAGGGGGTGGGAAGTCTGGTTCCCCTTCAAGGGTGTGGGAGGCCGGTTCCCCTTCAAGGGGGTGGGAAGTCTGGTTCCCCTTCAAGGGTGTGGGAGGCCGGTTCCCCTTCAAAGGGGTGGGAAGGGCTGTTCCCATTCAAGGGGGTGAAAGCCGGTTCCCCTTCAAGGGGATGGGAAGGGCTGTTCCCCTTCAAGGGGGGGGGGAGACCGGTTCCCCTTCAAGGGGTGGTGGGAAGTACGGTTCTCCCTCTAGGGGTGTAAGGCCGGTTCCCCTTCTAGGGAGGGGGGTAGGCCAGTTCCCCTTCAAGGGGGTGGGAAGAGAAGGTTCCCCGTTGCTGAGCTACAGCAACCTTCCCCCTCTCTCCCGGTCCTCCCCACCATTCCCCCCTCCCCAACCATTCCTGAATCCCCCATCCACTCATCCTCCCCAACCATTCCCCACTCCATCGTCCCCACATCCTTCCCATCTTTCCCCACTTCCCTGTTCCCTTGTCCTCCCCACCATTCTCCATTCCCCTGTCCCTTCGTCCCCACCATTCCCAACTCCCTCATCCCCTCGTCCTCCCCACTATCCCCCACTCCCTCGTCCGATGCATCACCAAATGACCTGATGTTCCCATCACTGAAATATAAGAAAAAAAATTAAAAAAAATGAAGAACAATGAAAAAATAAAATAATAAACTATACCCCACGAAATGAACGTTATGGTAATTAACTCAGCTCAATTCTAACGCAATGTCACTTAAAATAATCAAATTAAAATTAAAAAATATTGCAATCTATGAAAATTAAATTTATCAATGAAATCCGAAATATTGAAATGGAATCAAAACATATTTAGTACAGCTTAAGTTACTCTTTTTTTAAGTGCAACAGATGGCGTTGTTTTTCAAAAAAGCATGTTTTTACCTGTCACAGGTGTGGCATCTATACTTATACTCACGAAATGATTGGTATGGTAAACAATACAGCTCAATTCTAATGCAATATCACAGAAAATAGTTAAATCAAAATGAAAATCAATCGAAATCTATGAAAATTTAATTTATCAATGCAATCGAAAACACTGAAATGGAATCGTAACAATTTTTTTTTTTTTTTGAGATATATACAAGAGTTGTTACATTCTTGTACAGCCACTAGTACGCGTAGCGTTTCGGGCAGGTCCCTGGAATACGATCCCCTGCCGCGAAGAATCGTTTTTTCATCCAAGTACACATTTTACTGTTGCGTTAAACAGAGGCTACAGTTAAGGAATTGCGCCCAGTAAATCCTCACCGGCCAGGATACGAACCCAGGACATAGCGCTCGCGGAACGCCAGGCGAGTGTCTTACCACTACACCACGGAGACTGTTAGTATATATTTATATACTATTATATTATTTAGTAAATATAAATATTTACTAAATATTTAGTATAGCGTGTTGCTATTACATACAACAGATGATGCTGTTTTTCAAAAGAAGCATGTTTTTGCCTGTCACAGGTGTGGTATCTCTATAGTAGGTATATAAAAACACGCGAATATTCGAATGGAACATTTGCTTCAAAATTTTTAAGCAATCGGTGAAGAACTTTTGGAGATTACAGCATGTGTTGCTCCTACGTCCAACAAATGGCACTGTTTAAAAAAAAAATCTGTCATAGGTGAGGCATGTATATAGTAGGTATATAAAAACACACCTATTCGAATGCAACAATTTGTCAAAATTTCAAAGCAATCAGTAAAGAGGTTTCGAAGATTTCCCGCACATGGAAGCACATGAAAAACACAGTTTTTCAAAAAAGCATGTTTTTCCCGTTACAGACGTGACATCTATATAATATGTATATAAAACATATATGTATATATATATATATATATATATATATATATATATATATATATATATATATATATATATATATATATATATATATATATGTCGTACCTAATAGCCAGAATGCACTTCTCAGCCTACTATGCAAGGCCCAATTTGCCTAATAAGCCAAGTTTTCCTGAATTAATATATTTTCTATATTTTTTTTCTCATGAAATGATAAAGCTACCCATTTCATTATGTATGAGGTCATTTTTTTTTAATTGCAGTTAAAATTAATGTAGATATATGACCGAACCTAACCATCCCTACCTAACCTAACCTAACCTATCTTTATAGGTTAGGTTAGGTTAGGTAGCCGAAAAAGTTAGGTTAGGTTAGGTTAGGTAGGTTAGGTAGTCGAAAAATAATTAGTTCATGAAAACTTGGCTTATTAGGCAAATTGGGCCTTGCATAGTAGGCTGAGAAGTGCGTTCTGGCTACTAGGTACGACATATATATATATATATATATATATATATATATATATATATATATATATATATGTCGTACCTAGT